ATTAATAAAATGTTTCATTTTTTCGCAGCACATCCAGAACTAAACATTACTTGGGTTTCATCTTTTGAAAATCTGACTCATCTTATTTTACTGTCCACCAAATGTTTGAATCCTCTGTTGTGATTTCAGACTTTCACAGTTTTTATCTGTCGTGTGGAAAGAGTGAAATTACGGAGGGGGGAGAGACCTGTCTTTGTAAAACTCCCGCTTATCACTCAGACTCTTTCTTCTCAGACAGCTTGAAACGTGTTACACTTCCAGACCTTCAGGTGTCTGTTAACCCTGAGAGATTGGAGGACCTCGGCTTCTGCTGCAGAGGAGGAACACAACAAAAGGCTGGGTGAGAATGTGGGTCAAGGAAGAAACATCCACCTATAAAGGCTGCGAGCGGCGGTAAAAGGCACACACACAAAGGACCCATGGTTCTGTCCTTAAGTGTGTTCAAAATTGTTTTTTTCTCGACTAATCACTTTAAGATGGGCACGTGCTGATGATGTCATGCAGTCTTTTTGGTTTAAGGCCTGGCTTCAGGGAGCTTCTGTAGAAAAAGGCACTACATCACAAGAGGAAGCGAAATTAACTGTATGGGTTTATATGCTCCGGGTCTTATGATAAACCCCAAGAAAAGTTGTTTCAGTGTGCAGCTGTGAGTCTTTTTATTTGGAGTTTACTAAAACACATCACAGTCTTTGTAATTAAGTTTTATTGGGGATAGATTGATGCTGATGAGGTCGTTTAAAACTCAGACGTACCATCAGTGTGAATGACAGCTGTCTGAGTTTCTGATCCGTCCTGTTCAGAGAGCTGTCAGGAACTGTGTGGAGCGAGTGTCAGCTCGGAGCTCTGTGTGAAACGGAAGTGACAAGTCGTCCGCATTTAGAGCCACAGAAGAAGAAGTGCTGCCCGAGTTGCTAAAGTCACGCTCATCGTTGACCCATGTCCCTGCGAAGGGAGTGGGGCGGGGCTTATATGTCCACATCGAGTCTCAAAAAGAGAACTGAGACCAAGTTTTATCTGTGGCACTTCTATTTATGGAGGGTATTTATATGGTGATGTCACAGCAGCACAATTAATGTAATGAAAATGTTTTGCTCGCCGCAGAAAGTTGGAGGCAGAGTGTAATGGCTTTTCCTCGGTCTGTGTTGTGTATGTCTGTTAGCAAAATATTATTTGACAGATTTTTATGAAACTCTCAAAGCAATCAGAGTCAACTCTGTTCAAGATGGCTACCACAGCTGTTAGGTAACACAAAAGTAGTTTTAATTCTGTCTGTTTTACAGGTACCGAGCTACACTTTGGTGTGGTAATGGCTTTCTCCAACAGTCTGAGCACCACACATTGTGCAACTGTCAGAGTCTCCCTGTCAGCAAAATATCTGTTCACTAGAGGGGTTTTCATGGAACTCTTAGGATGTAATCATTGGATGTACAGGGTGAGTCAAAAGTCTCGTCTTTCAGAAAGAAAAAGGAAAATTAAACATCTGTACTCAATACCCCAACAAGTAGTAGGTGAGGGAGGGGGTCTCTGTTCGGAACATGGCTGCCATCTTGAAAGCTGCCATATTGGGCATGCTCTTCCAAAGTAACCTGTTGGCAGTGGTGAGCACAGCTAACCAAAACGTTAGCTTCACTAACTCATATTCCACTAACTAAAAATATAGCTTTGCTAATGCCAAATGTAAAAAAATAAAAAAAAGTCTTTGTCTCCTTTGAGTTAAAAAACTGGTGGGACTTGTGGGTGGCCGATCCGTACTGGAAGCACGATCCGTATTGTCCCGGAAACATTGTTATCAGCATGTAGCGTTTCACTAACCTGATGACAGAATTCATTCGATTTCAGTCTTTCATTACCTGCAATGTTTCATAGAAAATGCAACGTTTGCAACAGCTGTGGGTTTTTATTTCAGGCAAAAATAAAACTAAGATAAGATTAGTTATAACGTGGTTGTCTAGAAAATAGTTTATTAATAAGTTATTATAAATAAATATGTACGCATCATAAATCTATATTTTATTAATCAAAATGTATACAATATTAAAACTGTTTTCAGAATATAATGTAACACTTATTTTCAGTATTTTTTCCTAAATCGAGCACATTCCAGAAGTCTATCATTTATCACGTGTAAATGAGCTGACAGTAGGGATGGTGCTACCAGGATGGATGGGGCAGCCACAGGACTGACACAAACCTGTTGATGTTAGCTAGCTGTTAGCTGACTTAAAGTTAGCAAGACTTACTTTAGTGAACATTTATTGGTCCTCTTAATAGTTTTCAAAGTTAGTTTAAAGGAGACCAATTATGGGTCCTAGAAATTTTTATGGTATGTCTGTGGGCTATCCAGACCATGTTCATTCAATTTAATGCACAAAATAATTCTCAGATAATAAAATTTCCCATTTTCTAGTTCTGCCTGCTCTGACTTCCGTTCAGAAGAGCTGTTTATGTTAATGAGCTCTGTTGGTAACGCCCTCCAAAGATCTGTTGACATTAACTCCGCCCTCCAAAGCCAGGGTTTACATTAGCATGGCTAATAATAGCAGAAGCTCCGTTGTACAACCATATGAGACCCAGAGGCAGAGTCGTGGTCCCAGCTTCTTTTTTCTCCCCCTCCTCTGCTCTGTGCTCACTCTGCATTCTGTTACCAGAGCAGGGAGCAGCAGCGGTCAAAATACCTCAGAAACTCAAACAAATAGGCTTTAACAAGGCTTTAATAAGCTAAACAATAGAGGTACATGAGAAAATGTGTTCATAACGAAAGAAAATAAATAAATAAATAGTGTCTGTACTGGTCTCGAACCCTGGTCAACCACTCTACCCGTTGCCCTATTGGATGCTTGTTGTGAAATGAGCTGCGCATTACACAACAACAACCGTGACGACATTTTATACTGAGGAGGTGGAGTTTCACCCAGGGGTTGTTAGGTGAGGGGCTGAGCACAGGTTCTGGTGGGTTGTCGTTAGGGTTGGGCGATATTGGTAAAAAAATTAATCACGATTAATTGTGGTTTTTAGCAGATAACGATTAATTTGACAATTAATCCCCTGGAGTCTCTGGACACCCTTATCTCCTGGTCACATGACCAATTTAGTGGGAAATATTTGCTCTTCATAAAAATCTGTTCCAAATTGTCAAAATTACAGACTTTGGGCTATACATCAAATTTTAAATTGTGTTGATATATAAATTACAGAAATTTTTTTAATTTATTATTTTTTTTTTTTTATGTTCGTCATATTTGAAGCAGAGAGGAGCACCGAGCGGGGAAATATCCAGTCAATCTGCCTGGTGGCATTAATCGTATTAATCGTCAAGTGCCAAAAAATAATCTATTAATGTTTTTCTGAAGATTAATTGCACACGATACGATTATACCCAACCCTAGTTGTCGTACGGCTTGTGACATCACAAAATAGCGGAAGTATAAAACTTGTCGTTAATATACATTAAAAATACATTTACTTACAGTAAATATGCCCCTGGGTGCATTTTTTGGTCCTAGGACTGTTTTTTTAAGAAGTACATACCCAAAGTTGAGTAAAAAAAAATAAATTTAAAAAGTGAATTTTGCATAATAGGTCCCCTTTAAAAGTTGGCAAAACTTACTTTAGCGAACATTTGTTGGTCCTCTAATAGTTTTCAAAGTTAGTTTAAAAGACTGCTAAACAAAATTAGTTCTTATTAGCTTTTAGCTAATTAGCAGATCCATGTCTGGTCATTTTCCCCTTTAAACAAAATAAGAGTCCTGAGACTTTTTATTCACCCTACACATCTTCAACTGATTAATCTTTGGAGCTGACCTGATTCAAGATGACCACTTCAGCCAAGTGAACCTGGGACACAAAATTCACTTTTACAGATATTGAGCTAAGGTTCAGTGGGCTATAGGGAAGAGTCAGATTAAAAAAAAGTTTGTAACTTAAAAGAAACAACATTCAACAACTATTTATCATTTTCTTTTTTATTGAGAATTCCATGAGGTTCACATATCAAAACCACATTAGATATTTTTTTAAAAAATACCATCTTCATATTCAAAAAAATCCATCTTCATCCTAATACACAAAAGGTATATCGTTTCTTTTGCACAGCAAAGATATGACACGCATGTTTCAGACAACATATCGACACACACTTATGTACATTTGTAGTGGAGACGACAGTGCAAAAAATCCACCAAACAGAGCGAGCGAGCTGTCGCTGAAGCAGCCAGGCTGCAAACTTCAGGGTGCTTATTATTTAGACTCACAGGAACACGTGAACAAAAACGGAATGATGCTGTTTGTGTGTGGTTATGGATCGAGACCGGCATCGTTTCAGAAGAACAAATGCCACTTCAAGTGTAACAAAGACTTTCAGGTAAACAAGCGTGACGACAAATCCTCTTAAATATAAGAGGTGGAGTTAACTTGCAGTGATTTTATCATCTCTAAAAGCTGGAGATGAACTGGTTAAAAATAAATAAATAATCTGCCATGCTCATTCAGTGAGTACAAGTTATTTAAGGGGCTGTAAATTAAAAACATTGGCAAAGTTAAACAAAAAAAATGGTGTTGCACACTGGCTGCCTTGACTTACACTGGTTCATTTAAAAAAAAGATTTTGTTAAAACATGACTCAGCAGTCTGGTTTCAGTCCTGGAGGCACAGATCAGGTAAAACTCCTCTCAGCAGTGTGGAGACAAGGTGACTCAACAAATAAAAACAAAAAACCAGCAGGTGCATTTAAAAGGGTCCAGGCTAGCCCACCACCTTCACCACCTCCAGCCCGTTGCTGAGCGGGGGGGTCTCCTGGTTGCTCTCTATGGAGGACTCGCTGCCCGTGCTCTCCCCCGACAGCAGTCTGGTGACCCGCAGGTCCGCTTTCAGAGTCCGCACGTCGTTCCCGATGCTCATCTCCCCCAGGTCGTTAATGATCTGGGTCAGCTCGCGCTTGGAGTCCTGCGCGCAGTCCGTGTCCAGGACGTCCTCGCACTCGAAGTGCATGGCCTTCTCCTCCTCCTCCTCCCCCAGCAGGTCCTCGGTGATGGAGCCCAGCTTGGGCGCGCTGCGGCTGCGCTCCACGGGGGGCTTGTAGCAGCACTGTCCGTTCAGCAGCTTCCGGAGCGGGACCAGCGGGACGGTCCGCTCCCCGATCAGCTGCTGCTGCTGGTGCCGGGCGTCGTCGCGCCGCTTCAGCCGCTTGAACTCGGCCAGCGCCGTGGCGGACGTCTGGTAGAGCAGCAGCGCCATGGCCTTGGCCTTCTCCGGCTTGGACACGAGCACCGCGTGGCAGCGCAGCATCACCGCCTTGTGCTTCATCTCGTGCCTGTAGATCCACGCGAACACCTTGGGCAGCCGCGGGTCGGCCACGCAGTACGTCACCCGGTGCAGCAGGTACAGGTGGCCCGGCCTGCGCGCCTTGTCGTCCACGTGCACCATCCGGATGCCCTGCGCGCTGATGGTCAGGCGCATCTTGGTGCCGCTCTTGCCCAGCTCGCTCTTGCCCCACACCTTGCTCACCGCCACGTCCGTGCAGCCGTCCCCCTTGGACTGGATGGTGGTGGCGTTGCCCAGGTACAGCACCGTGTAGGTGGGGTCCTCGCTCGTGATCCGGATCTTTTTCCGCTTGGACTTGAACATGCTGCCCACCCGGTTGAGCGCGCTCTCCGGGCAGGACTTGGCGAAGGAGGTGAGCGCGGAGTAGTTGAGGCTCACCGCATAGCCCTTCTGCTTGGACTGCTTGTCTTCCTCGATCAGGTCGAACTTGCTCTTCCTCCACGGCAGCATCGTCCTGCTGGTCCCACCAGGGAGGAGAGAAGCGAAGAAGTTTGCTTTTGTTTTGTTTTAGTTCTGATAAATCCCAGAAGCCTTCAGGAGCGTTTCAAGGCATTGATGAGAAGACACCTGTACGTTACGGGTCCATCATCTGTCCATTGTTGATGAACACGTCCCTCCTCCTCCTGCAGCAGACTCCTGTGTGGTTTCACAGACCAGGATCCAGCCTTTATATAGAGGGAGGAACCACTTCAGTCTGACTGCAGGGGGGGCTGACCCAACTTCACAATCAGAAACGTGAACACAGAAGGATCAATTATACACAAAATCAACTCATCGGTATCAATTTTACTGCTACTGAGAAAATCAAAATGTTCCTGTAAAGTCATAAATTAAAGGAAAACATGATTACAATGAGATAAAATAGGAGCTGAGTATATATATTTTTAAATTTAGAGTCTTAAAATGAGGAAAAAAAGCTAAAAAGTTTACTTTATGACATATTTTTGCAAAATTACATAATGAAAAGTGCAGGTGTTTTGTAGCTGTTTAACAAAAGACATGATTTAATATGAAGAACCGCCTTGACAAAATATATCTGTGCCGCCCCCTAGTGGTTAAACTTTGAATTGTTTAAGAGATTCATATTTCGTGTCCATTTGTTCGTTCAGAAAATGTTTAGGGATCAGTTTTATAATTGAGGGAAAATAAACTATTTAGCTATCCTTTTTTATCAAGTGTAAATTTGTCTAAATCAATGTTTACTTTGTTTCTTCATAATTTTCTAAAAGATTCTTTGAAACTATGTAAGAAATGCAATGTTTTTACAATAGTACTGAGATTTTTTTATTTCAATGTGGCTAAGATTAGGTTTTTATTATGTTGTATTCTCTTTTAATTTTACTCATGTGCCTTTCACAGTCCATGTTCTTTGTTCAAGTTCATTATTAGACTGTAAATTGTTCTTCTCAAACTGTTTTCATTTGTACATAAGTCTGAAAGATTTGTGCATATTAAATAAGAGGGGAAACAAATAATTTAACATATCTAATAAAATGCAAATAAGTACTAAATATACAAAATAAAACTGCTCAAAAATAAATTACAATAAAAGCACGAGTAAATGATACTGGGGTTTTGATAAATTCACACTCATCTAATCCTTTTCTTTCCCGGTTTCTAAAAAAAAAGCTGAAGCAAAACATTTAATTCAATCTTAAAAGCAACAAATGTTAGATCAAAGCAAGATGTTTCAAACCCAAGACCCTGGGACCAAATCTGGCCCTTGTTAACATTTTATCAGGCCCCCAAATTTAAAACTTTAAATGCAAATTAGTTAGTCTGTTATTGTATTTAGTGCATTCTTCTCATGACTGCTCGACAACCTTCAACCCAAGAAAATCAAGTGTGAAATTTTCAGTAATCTTTGATTTTGGTGTGGAAAGAGCGACCAATAAATTACTTTATCTTTTTCTGTATCATCTTATTTTGAAATAAAATATTTTAAATCATTTTTACATGGTTTGCAGGATTATGTTAAAATGTATCTTTGAGAAATAATAAATGAAGCAGTTGCTGATCAATAGTAAGGCATATGTAAGGAATACTAATGATTGTCTTTATAAATTCAATCTATAGTCTGTGTCTGTTACGCTATAAATGTAACGTAAAACCTAATTTGGAAAAAGCTATATTTTTATGAATATTTGTTTTATAACATTTTTTAATAAATGTGAATAGAGATATTGGTCCTTTGCTTAGACCAAATTTTGAATTTTGTTTTGTGTAACTGCGTTTGACACTCCTGCTTTAAAGAATCATTTGGAGGATGGTAGGAGATCAATAATTTTTTTCACCCTGAATCTGTTAAATTTCAATCTGCTTGGCCTTGTTCTTACTGTTAATAATTTTAATTCGGTAAATTACGTGGAACCAAAAATGCTACTGTGTCTGTTTCATCAGAGCACATTTTATAGCCGGACTAGTTTAGGGGACGTACCATATGTTTAGAAAAAATATTTTCAAATAAATTTAGGAACTTATTAAACTTCCTCGCTATATTTGAACTTTAAATAATTAAAATGCTCACTTTTAATAGAGTAGCTTTTATTAAAGCATAAGTGTCACCGCTACTTTAGCTCGTCTAAAAAAAATACCCGGATGTGTGACTTCTTTGGTATGTTCCACTTCCGCCTCTTGGGACAACAACGCAGTCGCAGTGCACACGCGGATTGTAGCTAGTAGGAGATACTGCTAGCTTGTTTGTTTAGGCATCTTGTTGACTTTAAGGTGTTTGGTGGCCGACAGGTTGGGAAGTTGTCATGGGGAAGAAGAAGGCAGGAGGAGGAGCAGGTCTCGGCAGAGCTCTGATAAAAGAGAGACTCCACGCGAACCGAGGAAACAAGAAGGTCGACTCCTGGGTACGACAGCAACACTAGGAGACATTTGTGTAGTAACACACACTGACTCAAACTGCATCAGATGATTGGATTTAAACTCAGATGATCTGACATGTATGTGTTTTTCAGCTGCACACCAGTGAGCTGAACGATGGTTATGACTGGGGTCGGCTGAACCTCCAGTCGGTGACAGAACAGAACTCCATGGATGACTTTCTGGCCACTGCTGAGCTGGCAGGAACAGAGTTTGTTGCAGGTAAATCCACTTTAGCTTTTATTTGGGCTTCAACATTAACCCTGCTTAAATTCCTGACTTTTTAAAGTTGTTTTATTTTGATTATTTTCTCAGAGAAACTCAACATCAGGTTTGTTCCAGCCGAAGCCAGAGCAGGTTTGCTAACAGCAGAGGAGAAAGCCAGGTTGAAGAAGCTACACGAAGAAAACAAGCACTTCCTTCGAATTCCTCGGCGGTGAGTTGAATAAATGTAGCTGATTTTACAACATTTAAGTATAAGTTGCGTTTAGCAGCGTTGCATCTTTTTTACATTTTTCCGTAGCCCCCATTGGGATGAAAGCACCGCTCCAGAGGTTCTTCAGCAGGCTGAGAAGTACAGTTTCCTGGAGTGGAGGAGAGAACTTGCACGGTATGAACTGTTCTAGGTTTTAAATTGTTTTTGTTTACTTTTGTAATTACCACAGTGTTTTTTGTTTTTGTTTTGTTTTTTTAACCTTTTGGCTGCTCTCTTCATCAGGGGACACCACAGCGAGCTAACTCGCACAAATGTTTGATGATTGTTTTTACAAGGCATGCCCTTCCTTACAACCACTGACCGCCAAGCTGCCACAGCCCATATGGCTGGAGCGGGGTGGGGGCTGACACCCTGGGGGACCCAGGGCAGCAGATAGTGGGGTTAGGGGCTTTGCTGAAGGGCCCAGAATGGGGTACGGTGTGGGTTCACCTTTCCTGGCCTATCGATCACAGGCTCACCTTTTCTAACCACTGTGCCGCCACTTCAATACTCAGTACTCCACTGTAAGCATAAATAAGCGTGTTTATTTATTTATTTAAATTATGCTTATAAAGAAGCTGTTCTACACAGCCATCATCACCTCCTCCATCACTGTATGGTACACTGGGGCCACAGGCAGAGACTGAGACTGCAGCTCATTGTGCTGCCCAGAAGGTGATCGGCTGCAACCTCTGACCTGCAGAGGAGCTGTACCCCTCCAGAACTCTAGGTCACGCAGGCAGAATCACAGCTGACCCTTCTCACCCCGGTCACAACCTGTTTCATCCCCTTCCCTCGGGCAAAAGACTACTGTCCATTCGGACCAGAACCGCCCGCCACAAGAACAGTTTTTTTCCCGTCAGCCATTAGACTAATGAACAATGTTTAATCGGCTCTGGCCCATCTCTTCCGGCCGTGTTTTTATTTTTGTTCTCATTCTTCATTTTGTATTCTGACTTGTTTTCCTTCCTCACTTCAACCACTTAGCTTTAGTTCTCTCACTCCTTGCTTATGCGCAGCATTACACCAGAGCATACTCCTGGTCTGTAACTCGTTTACCGACAATGGCAAAAAAGTGTTTCTGATTGTGAAGTACCACAGTGTAAAATGGAGAATTTAAAAGGCTTAAACAGTTCCATCAAACAGGACTCTGAACTCATTTGTATTGTTTGTGGGGTTGTGCTGGATTTGTTTCCTGGGTCACGCCTGCAGATGGATTAAATGATCCCTGTTCTGTTTGTTTGTTTCTCACAGACTGGAAGAGGAACAGAAGCTGATTCTCACACCCTTTGAGAGGAACCTTGAGTTCTGGAGGCAGCTGTGGAGAGTGATTGAGAGGAGGTACTGTCGGTTCGTATCTGTCATTTAGGACAAATCTGTTCTCGACCAGCTACAGACTGACCTGTTGTTCTTTAGTGATGTCGTCGTTCAGATCGTCGATGCCAGAAATCCTCTGCTGTTCAGATGTGTTGACCTGGTGAGCTGACCCACTTTTGTTTTGTTTTACTCTCACTCTTAAGTTGGAGTCTTTCCCCTTAGACATCACCCACTTTTAGTTACATAATAGACAATTCATTTTTTTAAACATCCCCGGTGTTGTGTGCCATCAGGAGCTGTATGTGAAAGAGGTGTCTCCACATAAAGTGAACCTGATTCTGGTGAACAAAGCGGACCTGCTGACCAGGGACCAGAGGAGAGCCTGGGCCAGATATTTTGGGAAAGAAGGTCTGAGGGCCGTTTTCTGGTCGGCCCTGGCTGAAGGCAACAGGCTGGACGCTGAGGACAAGGTGAGGAGGGAGGAAGATGAGCTGGACGCTAAACTGTTGCATGTTTGTTTGTTTGTTTACCTTTTTTCATGGCTGATGGCACTCTGATGCCATGTTGGAACTCTCACATAGCTGCTGGGGGAGAAAACTTTTAAAACATTTCTCCAAATCTAGCAAAAAATGCAGCTTCCACCTTAAACACACTAGATAGGCTTACTATTAGCCAATCAGAAATCGGGGGCGGGACTTGCATCTCTGCAAAACTTTGATTGAATCTCAGCAGAAGTTGGAGCAGCTCAAAATCAGACTTGTTGATAAATGGAATGCATCTAAGGATCTAATGAGAAATATAAATGACAGTTTTCACATGGATCCAGTTGATTTTGTTTGTCTGTATTAATAATAGTAATTTAATAATATCATGTTTTTAATGTTTTAAAGTATTTTTAGCTTCAAGAATGTTCATAAATTGTCATTTTTAAACACAACTTCATAAAAAAAAATATATGGCTACGTTCACACTGCAGGCAAATCTGATTTTTTTGACCCATCTGACTCATATCCGATTTTTTTATGACAGTCTGAACGAGACAAATCCGTTTTTTTCTAATCCGACCCAGGCCGTTTCAGTATGTGGTTTTAAATCAGATATACACTCACTGGCCACTTTATTAGGTACACCTGTCCAACTGCTCGTTAACACTTAATTTCTAATCAGCCAATCACATGGCGGCAACTCAGTGCATTTAGGCATGTAGACA